CCCCACTGATGGTTTGTCAATAGCTTGACGAACCGGGGAGGGTGTTCGTGTGTCTGGATACGAGCATGGTAGATCTGCTACTTAGCAGCACGGGGGGGTACGCAGACAGGAGCATGCGTATGCCTGAAAAAGGCTACTATGTGTGGGCCCCCTTCCCCGAATGCGGGAGGGCCACTTCTTCCCTTCCTTTCCTCGCTCCCGCGGGTGCCTAATCAGAGAGAGTTAAAGCGTGTCTTCTCCTCCCAAGTACGGACATACCAACAGCCCACGCCACTTACGTGTGCCGAATCCAGCGAGCTATCCAGGTCCAGCGGATCTGCGGCAGTCCCTATAAGCGACCTCGCCGCGCGATGGCCTAGCCTCCAGCTGCTGTAGTCGAACGCCTCGTCAAGCGGTTTGGGCCTCGGGGCACGAGGAGAGGTACGACTGCCGGCGGGAGAGCGCCGATAATCAGGGGAGGCTTCAGATTCGCTTGATCCCCCTCTGGAGGCCATGTCGAATCAAAGCGACAGCAGCACCGCGAGCGCGCGGGTCCCAGGGTCCACGCCCCTCTTCGCGAGCCCGCCCAGCCCCAAGCGCTTGTGTGTTCGATCAAAAAAGAAACGGCCCTTGTCAAGGAGGGCACCCCTTGCGAGTGTTGTCGCGGCTCCTCTCACACCGCCGGCGACTCTCACACACGAAACCGCGGAACGCTCCTCTTACGCGGGCCACACCTACCAAGGCGCGGACCAGGCGGTTCATACTTTCCACGTTCGGCAGGAGGTTGACGCAGAGGTAGCCTTGCTGTTGTGGTTAAATTGCGCATTGCCTCGTTGCTCAGCAGACGTGTGAACGATGTGCCCCTTCGCGGGCCTCCTAGCGAAAGCACAATCTTGGAGCGCCTCAATTGTCCTCATTTGAGGAAAAAGTGCTCGCCCATAAAAATACCTCCGGGGGGGCGGGCCATTTCTCGGAGCTGATTTCTCGGGAGGACTTTTTTTCCACGAGAGTTTTTTTTTTTTCTTAGCAAGTTTTTTTTTTCTTAGTATCACACAACAAATTCATCTCTATCTATAGAACTAAGTCTAAGATAGATTAGCAATGAATCCATAGCGTGAGCGAAAGGCTACCTGTCTGTCTGTATGCCTACGTTTTCCCAGACAGCATACAACGACATCTACCCTGTGGGTAACAGGCTCACCAAGACAGTTTGGTAGCCATCTTGTGTATATATATATGTGTGTGTATTTTATGTTGGGAAGTTGTAGACGGAAGATGTAGGGGAACTCGGTTTGTCGGGTGTTCTACAGTATTAAACACCCTTATGTGTTTGCGGAGCAAGCGCGTCTCGGGGTGTGTACATTTTCGTCATCAACTCATTATGTTTTGCGTGTGACGTATGGGGGCATGTGCGGCGCGGGAGAACATATTCACCTTGTTGTGTAATGGCATGTCGTTAAACGTGAGAAGGGCACGGGACAACATTACTATCTCATCATTGCCTCCTGACGTGGCCGCCGATTGTTGTTGTTGTAGTGGTTCTTCCTCACATTAAACTCGTGTCAAATGCGAATCCTTAAATCTAGCGAAGTATCTGGCCACCTGTTGTGTAGTCTAGACTAATACTGCAAAATTATTTTTTTCCGGCTGAAAAAAAACGCAACAAATTCGTCTACAACACAGGTATTATGTAGAAATACGAGCCCAGGATACGTTGGCACAATGCATGCTAAATGAACGCATACACTACTCAATTTGGGATTTTGTGTGAGCAGTGTACGGGGATTCACGAGTGCTATGTGTGTACCAGCTACAGGGTACAACGAAGCTCCATCTCAGATCCCGTTGTGAATCCCAGACAGATGGGAAGAGGGGGTTCTTGTTGTTGTTTCCGTTACATTAAACTCGCGTCAGTTACTAATCCCAAAATCTAGCAAACACTCGGCCGGTGGTCACAAAAATGCTACATGTAGAGCCATCAGAAGATCTAAAGAACACACACACTATTAGCAAGAAAAGGGTACGCAAGCCCGAGGAGGTACACCTGCAATCCCTGCAGCACGTTTGCATGCTCACAACTGAACTACACGCCCACACACTACAAATAGACTAAATATAGCAGCAGCATCACCGTTGTCTCGCATTTGACCAAAATGAATGTTTGTCGACTATAGCGTACTACTGCTGTCTGAAGTGCTGTCTGTACAGTAATAATAACACCATGGTGCATGGTACACAAGCTCGGGGCCTGCAGCTGCTGTCTGAAGTGCTGTCAGAATGAGTCCGTGAACATACAATGAAGAGGAACACCCAACCAAAGCCATCATTGCAATTGACAATCACCCGAATCTATCCAGATTATCTGTTTCAGGCACAGCAGTGAAAACATCGACACTGACTAGGAATCGTTCAACATTGAAGGGGTCTTCCACGATGCAGGTACACAATTAAAAGCACCAGGGTTATCCGCGCCATCTCTGCCGCGTCTCTCTACAAAACCAGTGACGTTATCACACACACCCAACACCTACCTGCTGTATTCAGGGAAAAAACGGAGAGATAATTGACCATACAAGAGTNAAAGCCATCATTGCAATTGACAATCACCCGAATCTATCCAGATTATCTGTTTCAGGCACAGCAGTGAAAACATCGACACTGACTAGGAATCGTTCAACATTGAAGGGGTCTTCCACGATGCAGGTACACAATTAAAAGCACCAGGGTTATCCGCGCCATCTCTGCCGCGTCTCTCTACAAAACCAGTGACGTTATCACACACACCCAACACCTACCTGCTGTATTCAGGGAAAAAACGGAGAGATAATTGACCATACAAGAGTTGTTTGTTCGTGCGCCACGGTTCGATGCCGTCCGCCTGCTCCGGTGCCGCTGCTCCGATACCGCTGCTCCGGTGCCGCTGTGGCCAGTCCTAGCACGACCAAACTCGACCCGCTCCGCTCCGTACACGCTCTCGTTGCTGTCCATCCCAGTCGGTTCCACGCTTTCTCCCTCGTTGCCCTTAGGGTTCTTGGTCTGAAGATTCTCGCGCCGAAGGGTCAACCAGCCCAATCAGCTCGTCACCTGTCCCCTCCTCCTTTGATGGCACAACCAGGTTACTGAGACAGTACAGCTCCCTCTAGCAAACCTACGACCGTGTAAATAGTGCCCGTCCACCTTTCTTTCTGATGACGTCTGCCTCCGCGCACAAGGATGAGATGGCCATTGATTGCTGCCTGCACCGCCGGCCTGGAGGCCCGCGCATCTGCACCTTTGTGCCTGACGCACCAGGGCCGACCCAACTCCACCACTACTACGCACGCCTCGCGGCGGGTGCGCCGCAGCAAGAAGGTATCGGTCCCTTGAGGGTGAGTCTAGCCCTGCTCGCTAGAAAGACCCCCCCCCTCGCTATGGGTCATGCCTACGCAAAACCTTGCCGAGGCAGCGAGGGGAAGAAAGGGTGTTAGAGGCGTGTGGTTGGGGTTTCATCACCGACATTATTTACTCGATCGGTTTCTGAGGACTCTTCTCTCGAACGGTCCGTACGATAACTGTTATTTTTATTTTTATTTTTTTTCTTTTTTTGCCTTCCGACAATTTTTTTCATTTTCTTACTATCACACAACAAATCCATCTATAGAAATAAGTCTAAGACAGATTAGCAATGAATCCATATCGTGAGCGAAAGGCTACCTGTGTGTCTACGGTTTCCCAGACAGCATACNTCTATCTGTAGAAATAAGTCTAAGATAGATTAGCAATGAATCCATAGCGTGAGCGAAAGGCTACCTGTGTGTCTACGGTTTCCCAGACAGCATACAACGATATCTCCCCTGTGGGTAACAGGCTCAACAAGACAGTTTGGTAGCCATCTTGTGTATATATGTGTATGTTATGTTGTTGTAGACGGAAGATTTAGGGGAACTCGGTTTGTCGGGTGTTCTATTA